AATCTACAATTAGAACTATTTTTGATTCTATTTGACCCATATTAAATCACATGAGAAACCAATTTAACCAATGGGACAAGCTCACATGGCTGCTTTTTTTACTAGTTGGTAAAAGTATTTACAAAATGTTTCCAAATTATTTCCAATGAGAAGGAAATACATTGAAATATTATTACCTTTACACTCAGGAGGGTCACTACTCCATATATTTTTCCCAGAACAAATTAGCCTGCGTTCTCCAATAAGTGAATATTCATCTGGTCCTTGCGAAGGATTACAACTATAAGTTACTACTTCATTATATTCGAATACATCCTTGTGGCTATTTGTGTATTTTCCATTTAATATTTCTCCAGGTGGTTGACACAAAATTTCTTAATAAGGAAAAGAAGACATGAAAGGCAAAGAAACAGTGAAAGATTATGACAGCATTAGTAATGTCCTATGAACTGCTTTCAATAAATTCATTAACGTGACACCTACAATCTAGTTGTGAATCCAATAGCCATTTAGAAGAAAGTTTCTATGAGCAAATGTATTATCTCAATTCAAACCACTAATGAAGAAATGAACTTTTAGAATAAAACTCATTTTCTTAAATACCTATATAACATACGTACATGAAATACCTGTATTTATCTGTAAGGCCCTGCTAAGACTTGTTCTTATCATAAGAGATGCTGACAATTTAATGAGACAATAGGCTTATGATTAAAAATAGAACTCAGTGCTAGTGAGAAATGCTTTATAATTTATAAATATATCCATTCTTAAATCGATGGTTCAGTTTTACTTGGATATTATTGTCTTTTTTTCACTTTTGTCCTTAAGAGTGTGCAGTGAAATTTTCCCGTGGTTTCAGATCGTTTGATAATGTAACTGAATAAAACCAGAGGCCTTCCTCTAAGCCAGATATTGAAGAAATCAGAAAAAATGTAAAACAAAGCTACTATTCTCACTGTTTTGGAAATATTTGATTTTTACGAAAAAATACGTTGTATTTGTTGACATGTATTGAGCTTAATGTTCTTAAAAATAAATTAATAAATAATTATTTTAAAAACTTCTCTGTTTTAATTGCAATATAAAGAATATCGTTAGTCCTAACTCACTTAAAGAAAAGCTCTGTGAGCAATTTATACTTTAAAAGCGTAGAGGGGTCCCCAGGCCAAAAAGTTTGAGAACTGCTACTCTAAATTCTAAAGGAAAATATACTCACTTTCACAGTGTGGAGGAGTATCACTCCAATCCACATTATCTCCAGAAAGTTCACAATATAGAATTTTTGTGCCAAGTAAGGAATAACTAAAAGAGAAAATAAAGGATTACTGTTTTCTTATCAGTTGCCAAAACACACATAATAATGAAGACAAAATTTATATGGTGGTTTTTCTGTACTACAGTAGTCTCAAGAAGTTTCTTACACAACATATATATTAAACATGCTAACGAAATCTGCAGTTTAATGAAATGAAGAGATTTTTCGTTTGTACACGCAATGGCCTAGAGGAAAACATCTAAGTAAATCTGTCACACTTGTCAGTCAAGCATTTGCTATCTCTGGCAATCACATCACACAATCACTTCTTTCTCTTTGCTGGTGTCATTCTACCCAGTAAGGACAACAGCTGAGTACAGAGTTCAGGCCTTAGAGTTCACCGGACTGAATTCCAGTTCCAACTCTACGACTGTCTTATTATTACTTGGGCATGTTACTTACTGTTTCTCTTTCTCAGTTTCCCCATCTATGAAAAGGGGATAATAGTATAAGCCTTGTGGGGTTGTTTTGAGTATTAGATGAGTTAGCATGTGGAACATGGGGAATGCTAGACAAGTTTTAGGTCTTATTAATATTTTTCAGAATATCCTCCTAAGAGTAGCTCAGGAAAACGCCTACTCAATGAAATCTCTGATGATTTACATTCATAGTACTCTCTTCTCCTCTGGACTCTCATTGCAATGATCATGAATAAATCTATTTCTTTGATACTTCTCATTCACTACTTTCCTTTAACAGCTCTCAGTATATATTGTGCTTCACAATAAGACTATGACTTTTTGAGGAGAGTCTATGTCTTAAAAGACTTTTTGGTACTCCTCAACGTGTGCAACAAACTCTCTCTTTATAAATATTGACTGAGTATTTTCACTTATTAAACTACAAAATAATCAGTGAAACTGCCTATGATTGCTTCCAGCTGACTTCTCTCCAAGGCTCACTCATTGATTCTATACCATAATATATTAGGAGAGGATTCTGGGATGATGGATGGCAGGATAGGAAACACCAAGAATGTGTCTCCCCACCTAGACAACAAGTGCAGTGCTAGAATCTCTCTATGTAACTGTTTTGGAACTCTGGAGCCTGATGAAGACTTGCAACTTCCAGGAACAGACTTGGACGAGTAAATTGCACTAATTTTGGTCAGTTTCAGCTCTTAGCACAGTGGCAGCCACAAAGTCCACTCCCAGAGCAAGCAGCTGTGTGTGTCTTCCTGTAGCAGCTTATAATCAGCCCTAGGGAGTAAGGTGGGCAAAAAGGACTTTGTCTTTCAATATGGGAGATCTGTGCTCTTATCATTGATCGCTGCTTCTGATCACAGAGAAGCAGACAAAGAGTTGGGCAGCCATTGTTGTTACATGTCTCCACACTCCTGCAAGTCTCATCCTTGCTGACTGAGGTGACTTCCAGGGGAATTGAAGAACCAGCAACTATTGTTCTCTCATTGATTTTTTACTGTATTCTCTTTTGAGAGCCATACATTAAGAACTGGGACATTCAAAAACAACTGTATATGTGAAATAAATTAGAGAGTGACTGCACATGCCCAGAGGAAGGCTCAGAAAAGATCTGAGAAGACCTTCAGTTACATGTCAGGCTGATTCTCAGCACAGAGACATGCTTGAACAATCAAAAAAAAAGAAAAGAAAAGAAAAGAAAATACAAATGATAGCATAAAAAAACAAACAGTAGGGACGGGTAACAATATAAGTCCCAGAGTTACCATGTTATTAGATTCAAATGTCCAGTTCGACAAAAAATCATGAAGCATACAAAGCCACAGGAAAGTATGGCCGATTAAAGAAAAAAATAAATCAGCAAAAATTATCCCTGAAAAAGAACTAAGGGAATATATACTAGACAAAGACTTTAAAATAGTCATTGAAACTGTGTGTACATAGTTTGCAAGCACTCTTGGTGGCAAACTTGCAATTTCTGATTCCACAGTCTTTGTTTTCTTCATGAGTCTGTTGAGCAACAGATGCAGAGCTGCAAATCTTTGTGATTACCCTGACAGGCAAGACTATCACTATCGAGGTTGAACCCAGTGACATCACTGAGAATGTAAAAGCCTAAATCTAGACGAGGAGGGTATCCCTCGTGACCGACAGCATCTGATGTTTCTGTGCAAACATTTGGAGAAGGGCCACACTCTGTCAGACTTCAGCTTCCAGAAATAATCCACCCTGCACTTGGCACCTCGCCCATGGGGTGACATCAATGAGCCTTTCCTCCACCAGCTCCCCAGGAATTCATCTGCCACAAGATGTGCCACAGGTGTTTTGCTTGCTGCACCCCCGTGCTGTCAACAGCTGTAGGAAGACATGCGACCACACCTACAACCTGTAACTGAGAGGAAGGCAAAAAGAGGCCTTTCCACTGGTTACTCCACTGTCTCTAGGAACGCCTCCTGCCAAAGCCCCATATCCCTTGGGTTTCAATAAAATCAGAAAAAAATACAGAACTGTCTTAAGGATGTTCAAAATACTAAAAGAAATGTAAAAAGTTAAGAAATCAATGTGTAAACAAAATGGAAATGTAAGTTAGGAGACAGAAACTCTAAAAAAACAATAAAAAGAATTCTAGAGTTCAAAAGTACAATAACTGAAATGAAACATTCACTAGGGGAATTAAAGGCAGTTTTGAGCAGGCAGAAGGAAGAATCAGCAAACTTAAAGCTAGGAAATGGAAATTATTGAGTCTGAAGAACAGAGAGAAAAAAGATTGAAGTGAACAGAGCCAAAGTGATTTGTGGGACACCAGTAAGCAGACCAATATACTACATATACTGTGGGACTCTCAGAAGTAGAAGATAAAGAGAAAGGGGCAGAGAAAATCTTTTTTAGAAATAATGGCTAAAGACTTCCCAAATGTGATGAAAGAAATGAATCTAAGTACCCCAATAGCTCACTCAAAAACTGCAAGTAAAATGAACTCAAAGAGACCCACACTAAGACAAATAATAATCAAACTTTCAAAAGCCAGTGAGAGAGAATCTTCGAAGTTGCAGGAGAGAGGCAAATCATCATGTACAAGGGATCCTAAATAAGATTATCAGCAGATATGTCATCTGAAACTTAGAGGCCAGAAGATAGTGAACTGATACACTCTAAGTGATAAAAGAAAATCCTCTATACAGCAAAACTGTGCTTCAAAATGAGAGAGATATTAAGAACTTTTCCAGCAATAAAACCTGATTGAATGTGTTACCACTAGACCTTCACTGCAAAATATGCTCAAGGGAGTGCTGAAAGGTGAAATTAAAGGAAACTAGAGAGTAACCTGAAGCTTTATGGTTGAATAAACATCTCACTAAAGATACACACATGGGCAATTATGAAAGCTAGTACTATTGTACCAATGATTTGAAAATGCATTTTTATTTTCCATGCGATTTAAAAGACATCTTATAAAATAGTGTAGAAGCCGGTATTACAATTATTGTAGAGGCTAGAATGACATTAACAATCCAACAGAGTGGGGATGTACCTGATAAGGATCTGTTTTTGTAATTTATTGATGTTAAACTGGTACAAATTCAAATTGGAGTGTTATAACTATAGAATGTTAAATGTAATCCCTATTGGAACCACAGACACAATTACTATGGAATCTACACAAAAGGAAATGGAAAGCAATTCCAACATTTCATTACCAAAACAGGAATGAATGCCCTACTACACAAAACAATTGCAAAAGCTTTAAGGCAAATAGAAAACAAATAGCTCAATGACCTTTTTGTCAATAATTACTTAAAACGGATTAAACTCTACAATCAAAAGCAGATATTGGCAGAATGGATAAGAACAAATGATCCAACTATATGCTATCTACAAGAGATTGGAAGACAAAACGAGTAGAAAGTAAGTGGATGGAAAAAGATATTTTGTGCAAATTGTAACCAAAAGAGAGCAGGGGTAGCTATACTAATTTAAACAAAATAGACGTTAAATCAAAAAAAGATACAAAAGACATGGAGTACAATATATTTTAATAAGTTTTTCATACTGCAAGGATATAAAAATTGTAGTTATTTAGCTTATGACAGACATTCAAAAGATATGAAGCAAAAACTGACAGAAATGAAGGGAGAATGCTCATTTCTCCATAATAGTAGGAGACTTCAAGACTCCACTC